TGGACTAAGTGAGCAGAAAATTAGAGACAAGAGAAACACAGGGGTTTACAGTTGTTTGTACAATAATACAATAATTAATAAATAATAATACAAGAATATGTGTTTCACCTACTCACAACTTTACGCCTACTTTGCTCACTCCTGTATTTTAGGGTGGCAGTTTAGCATGGTAGATACAAATGCAGACTTTGGGAAGAACCACACTTGCACTTAGCATTGATGTAAAAATGCTGAATACAACAGATCATCAAATGGTGGTTAAGAACATGGGGTAAAACTAATGTATTTTTTAGCTTATCTGCTGACTAACATGTAAGCTTGGACTTACATTTACATTTCCCTGTTTCGTTTGCCTCATTTGTAAAATGAAGATGCTAGAACTTGCCTCATAGGGTTGTTAGGATGAGCATTAAGTGAGATTATTCATACATCTACAGAGAGCAAGCAGAAAGTAAGGCTCCATAAATGATACAGACTTTTCTAGCAGCAGCAACAACAGTAGAACTAGGTATAGGTGTCAAAAATAACCATCCTAAATGTGGATTAAATCCCTGACTCTGACCTCATTAACATCAGATTTATACTTGTAAAACTTAAATGTGAATATTGCCCTATCCTTCTGGCTCGCTCATACTTATTACCAGGAAACTGTCCTTGGACTCCATTGAGCTCTCTAGTCCTCTTTCCCTTTTATTTTTCTCTGAGTCCATTAGCTTCCTACTAGCCTCACTTCCCTGTCCTTCTTTCCCTGCTCTAATTAATTTCTATGCTGGAATCAGAGTGATTTATCTAAATTATAAGTCCTACCATGTTTCCACTTTGGCAATGACTGATGATAATGGCTTGACATTGGGTCTTAGGAGGAAACATCAAAACCTGGTGAAAATTGCTGATAATTAAACTGACTAGTCTTGGGAGCATAAGAGAGAAATGGTTTATTTTGTGTTTATTTCTAGATCCTTTAGGATAAATGCCAATGTTTTCATTTGAGTAATAAGTGCTTGGCTAGGTCAAGGAGAAACTGTTGACAAAGCATCTAATGTAATTCCAGGAACCCAGGAATACACATCACACTGTAATTGATGATGAGGCCCAAAGGTTGAACAATTGGTTGGTTTAATATTCTTGAAACATAGTATAGGTTAACTAAAAATCTTTTGTTCAAAATTAGGAGACTTTTCTTATATAATTGGAAAGGATGGATAATAGGGGTAAATGTAATTAAATGTCATTAAAATAAAGTTGTAGTCTGTGGATGATGATGGAAATTGATGATGATGATGATGATGATGATGACAGTGATATTTGCTAATATTTGTTGACAATTACTATATACCAGGACTGGTTTTAAACACTGTGTACATGTGATCCTATAATCCTGAGCTACGGAGAGGTTGAATTACTTACCTAGGTCTACATAACTAGGAACTAGTAGGATTTGAACCTGGGGAGATTTGAGTAGATGGGGATGAGCACTACTGTTCTGAACCCCATCAGTGAGCAAAAGGAATGCTTTAATAGATGAATAAAAGAAGGGGAGATATTCACATTTATACCAATTAGAATATGGAAAGACATCAGAACTGGGGTGCAGAGAGATGTTAGAAGTGTTAAGATGGAGCTGAAAACAAGGCAGTAAGTTTTACTCTGCAGGTTAATACTTGACTATGTGCATTTGAGTTAAGGATTCTACACAGGCTGGAAGTTGGGCCAACCAGTAACTTACTTGTCAGAGCAGTGAATTCCAAATGGATGAAAATATGTTGGTGTGGGTGTCACGTGTGGAAAGTGGGATGGAGGAGGATGTCATTATTTTAAAATTAGGGATAAGTGTTGGGGGAAGAAAAATGGCTCCCACTAGACAGCTGCATGTATGCAATAAGGTGGGGAAAAGAGAAGTGAGGAGAAAGCTCGTTTTTGAGTTAATAACTGATGTCCTAGATTTTCACAGTCTTAAACCTCTGTGGATTAGGGATTTGGGGCATTTTGTATACCAAAACCCCCCAAATATTGTGATTCTATGGTTAGAACTCTAACAATTTTAAGACAATGAAGTGCTAAGGGAGGTGGGAGAGGCACAAAAAAACCCACAAGGATTTTAAAGCTCTGCTGATGTTAAACACTAATAACCCTTGCACTCCAAGCCAATCACAATTTTAGCCCCCAGGACAGTGAAAATGGGATTATGGAATGGAGGATGGGGTCTGAAAAAGGGGAAGACCACCTGGGCAGGAATTTGGGAACAGGAATTTTGGGCCTCCCTCCCTAGGCTTTAACTGGAAAAGCTCCCATTTTATGTTATGGTTTCTGCATATTATAATGGTTTCTTCATTTGATAAAGGCAATCCAAACTTAAAGAAAAAACAAAACTATTTAAGTAAGGAAAAAAGGGACATGGAACTTCTAAAAAGTATTCTGCTAGTCCTTGTCCTTTTTGAAAATAGTTATGGATGCTAAGAAGAATGTTTTGGCTGGGAGACTGGGGAGAGCCAACTAACAACTCAGCAAATCAGTGATCCTCTACTGTGAAGCTAATGGTGGCAGCAGAAAAATAATGACAATAGCAGTTACTATATTAAACATCAACTCTCATCTGGGCACAGGGCTAAATGTTTAAGCAAATTGTACCATTTAGTTCTCTGTAGTTTTATGAGATAGATACTTTCATTACCTAATTTTGCAGATATTATCACTTTTTTGTACCTGAAAGAATTGAGCAAGTGGTCTACATATATAGGATTAAACCAAGTAAAGGCATTTTTAAATTTCATTCAACATATAGATTTAAACAGTTGCTCAGGGCTTATGCAGCTGAAATACATACCAGGTTCAGATGATCTATTCCTTTAAACTCAGGCAATTCTGAGTTTGGAAGGTCAAATCACAAACTGGCCACTAATATTAGGAATGTCTAATAATTTTTTCCAAGAGGAAAGAGTTTTATGTAGATTTAAGTAAAAGAAGAAATGTTTCCTTCAGAGAAATGCAAGGTTTTATTGCAATTGAATGTTTGCTTCAAAGACTTTTATTAATTTGTTTATTCAACAAGTACTCATTGACCAACTAAATGCACTGAGCCCAGAATCTCAAACATACAAAATTAAGATACCAATTTGATTAATGTAATCTAAGAAATTTCTGAAATTACCAAATCCTGGTTTAGATAGCACCTATTGATTAAGCATGATTTCTCACTTTAATTCCAATATAATTTAAATGCACATGAAAAGTGGCATGAACAGTTCATAAATTCTAGATCATGGAATGAAAGAACTTTACAAGTAACCCATTTCCTATATTTTGCAGGTCAGAGGGACAGGCTTAGAAATTATAAAGTCTATAACATTGGACAGATTTCTTAACCTTTCTGAGCCTCAGATTCTTTATCTATAACATGGGGATAATAGCACTTGCATTATAGAAATATGGTAAGGATTACATAAGGTAATTTATATGAGGTTTTTAGTGCAGTGTTTGACACACACAGTATGCTCAATAAATGTTACTGTTGTTGTGATCATTATTTTCCAAGTGGAGGGACTGAAATAGGGAAAATGACTAGCCCAAATGAGTAGCCCAAGGTCATGTAGCTTAATGATAGGGCAAATGTTAGAACTCAAATCTCTATTAGTACTCAGATGTTCCTTTTACTATACCACTCATTTAATTCCAAGGAGTAGGTAATGTAAACTTCTTAGGCCTATGATAAATATTTTAGCTCATCCAAAGAGAAGAATGACAAAGAAATGGCTGACATAACAAGAGAATTCCTACACATAAAAAAAAAAAAACAAAAGAGCAAAGGATAAGTATAGAACAAATGAGAAACCATAATTGCCAGAAAGTTTAGATAGCAATGTTGGAGCATTATTATGCCTGGAGAGTCATAGAACTGTGACTTTTTCCCTAATTCCTTTATTCACCACAAACATTTCTACAAAAATGACTAGGCTTTTCCTTTTTCTTGGGGATGGAGGTGGGGAGGTGGTTCACAATGCATGAGTATTTCACAAAACCTTGCCATGAATTGAGCTTTGCTAGGCAATTTCTATTTGCAAAGGAAAGGAACCCTGTAATTGGAGTTAGAATGGAAACATGAATACCACCAAGAATCAAGAAATGGTAGATTTTAAAAGAATAGTGCACTGGAATGTAACCTCATAGTAGAAACTGTTGAGAATTTTAGCAGAAAGAAAAAAAAATGACTCAACAGTAAAGCCATGTTGTTATTGGTTTGTATAATACACAGGTAAGTACAGGACTGAGAGTATTTGATTTGTTAAATGAAGATATTCTTAAGAATTAAAAATATATTTTTGGCCCTGGCTGGCGTAGCTCAGTGGATTGAGCGCGGGCTGGGAACCAAAGTGTCCTAGGTTCAATTCCCAGCCAGGGTACATTCCTGGGTTGCAGGCCATAACCCCCAGCAACCACACATTGATGTTTCTCTCTCTCTCTCTCTCTCTCTCTCTCTCTCTCCCCTCTCTCTCTGTCCCTCCCTCCCTTCCCTCTCTAAAAATAAATAAATAAAATCTTTAAAATATATATATATATATTTTAAAAGCCACTTTGTCCATATGTTAAAAGAAGCAACTAATCTACAGTTTGCTAAGAAAAAAAAAGGATATATTCTTTCCTAAACTGTATTTTAGTTTAATTAGAGAATTACAGTGTTGGTTGTTGCAACATCCAAGGAGTATTTAAAATGTTCCAGGGGATTCCTAGCAAGAGGAAGGACATTTTGCTCAAATTATTACTGTAAATGCCATGGCACATAGACTGCTGCCAGGAAGTCTAAATGGAGTTCCTAGTCCACCAAAGGAATATGTCATGATTAATTAAAGTGCAGTTACTATTCAAAACAGTTGTTACTCTTTTTTAACTTCATCCTTTAATTTTGAGTTGACTGATATGCCTCTCCTAAAAATAATTATATTTATTTAAAAGGAAATATATTAATAGTACTTTGCTTAATCAGTTGATCATTTTCTCCCCCACAGGGCATCAGGTACTGTTTATACAGCACTAGACATTGCAACAGGACAAGAGGTAAGTGCTAACATTCAATGTCGATTTTTATTTTCCATTATTCATATTGATCAGATCTCCTTTTTGATAGCATCTATGCCTGAAAAACAATGGGTAGCACTGGATTAATGTTGAAGTTTTCTTTTTTGATGTCCAAAGTATCTGAAGGGGATAGTTTACTCATGATTAACCACAGAAAGGGGAATAGGTGTGTGGCACCAAGTAAAATCTTACTAAGATAAAGAATTTGTGTACCCCAAAATGTGGATGTTTGTTTTTAGTCTAATAATTATAGTTCATTCTTATATTTTAATCATCATTTAGGTGGCCATAAAGCAGATGAACCTTCAACAGCAGCCCAAAAAAGAATTAATTATTAATGAAATTCTAGTCATGAGGGAAAATAAGAACCCCAATATTGTTAATTATTTAGATAGGTAAGTGTCTTCTCTCATTATGCACTTGTTTTCTTTATGGTATATCATTTTCTTGACAGATTATTTTATTTAGGATCTATTCATTTAGTATTCATTCTATAAATATTTCTCAAATTCTACAAAATAGTGGAATATCAGAGCTATTGCTAAACTTGCATCCACTTATCTTTGACCATCCATCAAACATTGGAAGACATTTTATAGTGTTGCTTTTAAACATGAGCAGTTTGTGTAATTTCCCATTGGGGGTCATGAATTTGTCTCAGCAAGAAATAGCCTATTGCATATAGAAGAGGGCTGTGGTGCATTAAACATTTATTTCATCAAGTGTTTGTTTGAAGCCAGTGCAGTCTCTGGGTGTCTAAGTGAGGAAGGCTGTCTACAATAGCCTTGCTCTAATGGGTATTTTGTAATTAACTGATAATGAGGCCTAGGGAATTGAGACTTCAATCTCAAATCTTTTTCCTAGACCAGGTAATTAATGTCTCTTTCATCAGTGGTATTAGAAAGTGGTTTATAAACAGACATTTGAAGACAGTATCAGCTCTTCACTTGTGGTTAACACCTGTGTCATTCAATTTCAGTAAGTGTCTGTTTAACTCCACTGTGCTATATACTCTGTGGTTGGAATACAAAAGAAATAAGACTAGATCTACAGCCTCAATGAGCTTAAGATCTTTCTTTCTGTGCTTTGAGCCAGGTATACCCATGGTACAGAAAGAGAAAAAAAGGAGGTGAAAACAGAAGGGTAAAATTTTACAGTAGAAATCACTGTCTCATAAAGTGTTACAATTGACTTCTATTGGAACTGGTACCTCAGCACAGCAAATCCATTGCAAACATGAATCATTTTGATTTAGTGACTGCTGGAAAACATTTCAGTAATCAATTCAGGAAAATAAAAAATAATGCCAAGATATGAATAAAGAGCCTAAAAGTCTGTATGCCATGGGCCACTGCAGTCCAAGAAGTCAGCATTGTGGCTTGAGTTATCCAAAAGGGGTATTCACTGATCCTGCTCATTGCAACTAGCTTTTACAAGGAATGTAGTAGTCAGTTACCAGAGGCCTCCTTGCTCTTTCCTTTCTCCATGGCACATAGTCATAACTGATGATCCTTTGGTTTCCATGCATATTCTTTTCTAATGTTAAGCAAGTATCTCATTACCATCCTCACTGGTATTCTCTTCTTGTTATGTAATACAATCAAATGGAAGAAGACTGTTTGCAAATTGCCTTCTTAATGGGAATATGGAAGAATCTCCACTTTCTCAGGCCTGAGTCAACATCTTTTTCTTCTCTTGCTCTAGCTACTTAGTGGGTGATGAACTATGGGTAGTTATGGAATACTTGGCCGGTGGCTCTTTGACAGATGTGGTCACAGAGACCTGTATGGATGAAGGACAGATAGCAGCTGTCTGCAGAGAGGTAAGAAAATAGAGCATTTCTAGATGATGAGAACACCAAAATTGGAAGTTCCTTCTTTATTTCTGACTACTCAGAATGTTTATAACATCAAAGTAATAATAGTGCATTTTTTGTACTGAAAAAAAAATGGAGAGACTAAATTCAGTTAAAATCTTAACATAATAGCACTCCCCTTCCCTTCCCCCTGCAGCCCCTTGTTTATTTTAATTGTTTTGATATGGGTCTTTTGAGTTCCATTATGCCATTCATAAGGTACATTTAAGCCTACATGCTTTTAACTTTGAGTGAACATGGAAAACAGTAATGTTGGCATGGAACTTCTTTATGATTTGAAGGAATTTTTACACGGTAGTTATTTTGTCTTGGATGTGCAAATGAGCTATGTGAAAATGCAGACCATATTATAATCCCATATTTTTCTAGAATGTAATTTAACCCAGGACTTCCCTCAGCCCAAAAAGTAGTTATGTCCACAGTACAAATTTGGACATCCCTCATAGCCCTCTAGTGAATCAAAGTATCTGCCTCTTTTCCAATAATAGTGGCATATACCTATTTTCAAGCTAAACCAAGAATATTTTATTATATTATTTTTTCAATATTAAAAAAACACTCTTCATTGGAATTTTATATTGGGCATTACCATCTATTCCATTCATTGTGGTGAGGTTTTCTATGGATACATTAGGAATCCTGACCCACTGAAACTTAAAAAACAGTGATAGAAAAATAAAACCAAATAATTCCAGCTGGTCTTTGATTTTATCTTAAATTTTCACCTAAATTTCTCCTTTGCTTGCTCTCCTCTCACTCTCATTTTCTCCTCCCCAAACATACACACATATCCACTAAACACATATATTTTCTATTCATGTAATATATCAAACATGTAATATTTAGGGGAATATTTGATTCTGAGTCTGTTTGTTCCATCTTCTAGTAATGCAATGCAAAGCCATTATCAAACAAGTACCTATAGTTACTTCATAGTGGTCCCCAAACTTGGATGTCCATCAGAAATAGCTTGGGGCACTTGTTTTAAATGCAGGTTCCTGGGCTCCACTCCAGACCTACTGAATCAGATCATACCATTGAAGCAGAAGCTTACTGCATCTGTTTAAGACCAAGCTGAATTCATACCCTCTAGATAACTAGGTCAAAGTATGATTATATTAATTGGTTAGTTTGACTATATTAATGACTTAGTGCTACTCATCACACTACCACTTTCATGTCCTAGTCTGACTCAGGAGTTTCATATGTATAAACTAAATTGCATCACTGATGTAAATGGTAATGTGATTTCAAAATGGTGTTAATGCACTTCATAATTTATTTAACTTGACAACATAAAATTATACTCCTTCCCAAAATTTATCTAGGTTAAACTTAGTTTAAAAAATTATTTGTGATATAATTAGAACTTTTTTTCCTGATCCAATAGTGCCTCCAAGCTTTGGATTTCTTGCACTCAAACCAGGTGATCCATAGAGACATAAAGAGTGACAATATTCTCCTTGGAATGGATGGCTCTGTTAAATTGAGTAGGTATTTTGGTTCTGGTGGTGTTTGAGAGTGTATTGGGGGATTTCTGCTCTTTCACTATCTATGTTGAGAAGAAAATGGTTATTGAAAGCAATTGGTTTGAAAGCATTTAGAGTCCAGTTTTAAGTAAGTAATTGTTTAATGCTATGTTTCTGTAGATTGTGGCCATATTTTGGGTGGGAGGTAATATTTCAGAATTTCTAGTGACTTCGATCTGCTGGGTGACATATAATAAGAAGATTGAAGGGTTCTGTAAGTTGGAGGGAACCAGACTGACATCACTTCAGTTAGCTATTTCAGACCCTTTTAAAATCAAGACCAGATGAGAGATCAGGCCACAAAGGGATATGAGCTAGACAGTTGTAGAAGCTCAGTGTCTAGCAAAGGAAAGTACAGCCATGTATGAAAATGAGCTATTATAAAAGAAAAATAATTTGAGCTGGTTTTAAGGGACTTTTCTTCTCTGCAGCTGATTTTGGGTTCTGTGCCCAGATCACCCCTGAGCAAAGTAAACGAAGCACTATGGTGGGAACTCCCTATTGGATGGCACCTGAGGTGGTGACTCGAAAAGCTTATGGTCCGAAAGTTGATATCTGGTCTCTGGGGATTATGGCAATTGAAATGGTGGAAGGTGAACCCCCTTACCTTAATGAAAATCCACTCAGGGTAAGTCAAAGAAAACTCAGGTACTTCATCCTCTGGTAAGGGAAAAGGCAAAATGTCATTTCTTGTCTCCACCAGAATTGGCCAGAATGGGCTCTTTCCTGGGACAAGTGACATAGAAACTTCAAATTATAATTTTCAAAATTACTAGGAGTTACTTTTCATTTCTTTTAAGATATTCAAACAGTTTTTTTCCAGTGCTTTCACATCAGTATGTCTAATGGCAGGGATCCTTAAAAGCTTTTAGTTTAGCTTTCTGCTATTAAAAAGGCTTAAAAAAAGAAGCAAGATGTGGGAAGAAAAGAGTAATTTTATTATATGCTATGGTTAAATGATCTATCTAGGAAACACTTGCTCTATAACTACTTTAACAAAGTAAATAAATGCATTTCCAGAATAGCTATATTTTTTAATATTAGATTTTGTTTCATTATCAGTAATGCTTTTTTTTCATTATCAGTAATGATTTTTGAGCAACAGCTTGATAGGTAGTGATTGGAATATAGGATAGACACAATGCCTGCCTGATGAAATCACAAACTTAATTAGACTGTCAAGCAGAAAATAAATGGAAATAGTTTGTGTTGGGTAACTCAGTTTTCTACTGCAGAATTAGAGGCTTGATCCTTACATAGTCTGGTTACACTGCAAAGAGCAAAGCTCCATTTCATAGCTTAACACTACCATCTTGACTCAGATATGCTGTTGATCATGAGAGGAAAAGGCAAAGGAATATGAAAGAAATACTTGCTCAATACAAAAGTCAGCCAGTAGCTATTTCATTCTATATAGCCAAAGGGTGAACTAGAAGCTGTGTTGTATATATAAAGATTATCACACTAATAAAAAAAGAAATATGCACAAATTCAAATTCTACTCTCAAAATGTAATTGGTCTATTTGACTTACAATGCCAAAGGCATCTTGAAAAATGCTCACATCATTACCACTAAGAATCTAAAATTGAATTTTACTCTTAGTATACAAAAACCATTGTCCTTAGTAAATAATTAAGTGTTCCAGGGGTATCAAACCTGTGGCCCACAGGTCACGTGTGGCTCAAAATGGCTGTGAATATGGCTCAACACAAAACCATAAATTTTCTTAAAACATTATGATAGTGTTTGTGATTACATGTCACATTGTATTTAATATGTGGCCCAAGACAACTCTTCTTCCAGTATGGTGCGCAGATGCCAAAAGTTTTGATGCCCCTGGCACATTAAGCTTATATTCAAGCCAAATATATGTAGCTTTCTATACACATAAAGAAACCTACAAACTAATTGTCTTGTTGCTTTTGCAGTTGAAAATTTTGTAATTTAGACCTGCATCCCCTATGCATTGAGGAGAGAGGGAAAGCCTCCTTTTGTCCCCTCCTAATTCCTTTCTGCTACTTGTCATCTTGTCCTAATCCCTTCACTGATTAGAAAACAACAGATTGGAGTGAATTCTCTAATGAGTGCTATGGGCTATTGCTCTGGTGTCAATCTGGAAGTAAAATGTGCACATTGATTATCTGCCTGCAGGGCTGAGTGGAAAAGAAGGGGCATTTTCCCATGTTTATAGGTTAGCCATCCATGAATTTAATCAAGCCCACCCCTGACCTGTGGACCAGCATATCAGGATAATTACTTGGGCTTGTCCTCATTGTTTAGCCACCTTTGTTTGTTAAGAAATAGCAGCGTGAAAACACATCAGGCCTATTGTTTCCAAGGTTTTTTGCTCTAATTCTTTGGAGGTTGGAGGCACTAAACAGGATTATGGCTGTTTTGCTTTCTGCCTTCTAATGAGTAATTTATAACCTGCAAAATTTAAGGGTTAAGTAGATGACTGTAAAGCAACTGGTCACAATAATGCAATTATTCTCTTCTTCAGTTCCCCATTACAACTGATCTCTTTTTTTGCTAGGCTGTTAACTGTTAGAAAAAAGGAAACAAAATTTAATCTTTATAGCCATCTTCTAGGCAAGGATTAGAACTCTTAATTAACAGTTTGTCTCTTAGAATCCACAGCCTTGTATCTAAACAAGTACTTGAAGATTAACAAAACACCAGGTTCAGGAAGCCTACATTAAGGCTATATAACAAAAAGACCTGTCAGAAAGACCAACCTGTTGAAGTCCACTGATAAGGATTTAGTCTAACTTTACTCATTACTTCCCTCATGTGTTCAACCTCCAATGAAACAATCAACAAATCCTTGAGCCAGCCCCCTATCTCTTTGTTGGTCACCACAAGTACTTTCTTAGTTTTTATTTTTAGTATGTTATTATCATACTCTCTTAAAGAAAATGCAATGTTTCAGACTATATGCCCTTATTTCAGATTGTTAAAAAAAATGTCACTGAAAGCATGAAGAGATTGCAGAGAAACGTAACATGAGCCTGTAGAAAGCCTATGTTTTCTTGGATACTGGTCACCAGGCCATATGTGAGGAAATAGAAAATCATACACATTCAGAATTATAAAGGAAAAGTAGGTTAGTCCTTCTTTCTTTAAAATACTTCCAGTACTACCACCCATCCACCACTTTAGGCTTTGAGGAGGAAAAAGAAAATAAGTGGAAGGAAGACAGAGTGGTAGAGTAGGGGGTTGCATGTTGATGTAAAAAAATTGGCCCATGTAGTCAAGCAGATCTAGGTATGTCCTAGCCCACAACCTATAAGCTCTGTGACCTTGTACAAATCACATAAAACTTTTATATGCTGGGTTCTTTGTGTAAAATGGGGATAATATCTATCTTGCAGAATCAGTATGAAAGCTAAATGACATAATGCATGTAAATCACCTAACAGTATCTAGCTCAGTGTAGGAAATATATTAGAGAGACACATATATGAATAAAAATGTGAGAAAGGAAAATGAGAGAAAGGATTCTTAGCATGCTTTTTACTCCAAGAGGGATTAGATATACCACTTTTCCCAAATCTTCCTCTCCACACTGGTTATACTCCTATTTCCTCAAGGAGTAGAGGGTTAACATAATTCAGTTAATTTATCATAAACAGGTAACATTGAACAGGAGAGGTTAAAGGTGAACTCTGGGGCTATACATTTGAATGTTGTTTGCATTTCACTGTGGGTTTTTCATGTCTTTGTTGTGTTAGTTGCAACTGAGCATGCTCTATGTATATTGCCTGTTAACACACCAGTGATGCAAGGAATTAGGTACTACCCACCACCCCTAGTTATAAAGTGTTTAGGATTTCTTAAAAAGTAAATTAATATGTACTAATTGACTTAATTTGTTTATAAAATGTCTTTTAAATGTTAGAGAGTTATTAACCAAATTAATGTTATAACGTTGGTACCCTTCCAGTAACAGAGAGGAGACAAGTTTCTTCTTCTTGTTCCCACTGCCTGAAGTCTTTGTACTCAACATAATTGACCTTGGACATGTTGTTATGTGACCAATGGACATCTTCAATAATCACATGTATTGTTTGTTCTGTTTATGAAAGTGACTGGGGTTAAAATCAAACTTTCCCTCAATGTGCAAATCAAATGTTGGTGTTCTGCTCATCAACATAGCTTGTTTTTGTTAATTATAAATATAATTTTTAACCCTGGCTGGTGTTGCTCAGTGGATTGAGCACCAGCCTGCAGACCAAAGAGTCATTGGTTCAATTCCCAGTCAGGGCACATGCCTGGGTTGTGGGCCAGGTCCCCAGTAGGGGGTGTGCAAAAGGCAACCACACATTGATGCTTCTCTCTGTCTTTTCCCCTCCCTTTCCCTCTTTCTAAAAATAAATAATAAAGAAAGAAAATATAAATTTTAAAATCTGTGATTGGTCAGTGGTCCAAGGTGGCAGAGGAATAAGTGGAAGCTACACTAACGTCTTCCCAGGACCAATCTGGAATTAGAACTAAGTTGTAGAGAAATATTCTGAATGACAAAATGAACACTAGGTGGAGAGAAGCTTTATAACCATAGACAGAGAGAAAAAACTACTTCACCACAATGAAACAGGTAGGGAGTGTGGAGGAAGCATGAGAGGGCTGGCTGGGCTTCCACAGGTGGCAACTGAAGATCCAGAGGGATATTTAAGTGTCCAGGGGGTTTCCCCTGAGAAGTGTGGGGTCTAAACCACAAGCTGGGCTCCCCAGCCTACAGCACCAGAGCCAGAAAAGGAACCCAGAAAACATCCAGCTGTGAAAAGCAGCAGGGTTTCTGTCTGCCAGTGAGAGGTGGCTGGAGATGCAGAGAGCCTCTTAAAGTGTCAATGCAAAAATTTCATTTGCAGTCACTTCATCTGGGCTCCAACAGAGGGAGGAAAGAGAGGACTAGAGATGCTTCAGGGGAGTCTAAGGTTGGTAGATCTGGGGAGAGAACTGAAGGAACAGCCATCAGGATCCCTGTGCTGAGTCATCCCCCACACTGCAGAAGCCAGCTTTCATAGGCAGAGCACTCATCTCTGAATTGCATCAACATCAGGGGAAACAATACCCCAGCCCACAAGAATTACTCTGCCCTGCCCTGTGGTGCTAAAGCTGAGCTGCTGATTACAGCTTGAAGCTATATCATTAATTAGTTTAACAACTAAGGTGGATCTCAGGGAGCTCTATGAGACTTCAGATGACCCTCCCTGGGGCTGGGTGGTGATAAAAACTGGCCTTGGTATGCAGCCTGGTTCTTTCAGCATACACTCAGGCCCATCAGAGGGAGCTACACATTGTGGATGACTGATAGCTCCAAACAGGTTGAATAGGGCCAATCACAAGAAGTGTCTGGCAAAGGCCTATGCCAGAGTCTTTGCAGATCTATCTATTTCATAGAAGCAAATACAAAGAAGCAGCCAAACTGGAAAAACAAAGAAACAGACTGAAAATGGAAGAACAAGAGAATTCTCTAAAAGAACAGCTATATGAAATGGAGGTAAGCAATTTATCAGATAGAGAGTTTAGAGTGATAATTATAAGGATACTCAACACCATTAAAAAAAAAAAGCACAGAGACCACAGAAAAGGACTAGTCAGACCTGAACAGACTCTTCTCCAAGGG